TCAAAGCAGTTTGGAGAGAAAAACAAAGTAAAGAACAACAAAAAATGGAAACGATTAATCGATTATTAAATTAGTCATTGATTATTTTAATAATCGATTAGTCATCGATTAATCGATTAATCGTGGCAGCCCTATTTAACAGTAGTCATCTATTGAACAAGAAATACCAAAAATACATGTAAACATGTTTAATGTATTGTTTCAAAACAAAGCATTTTGTCTCACACATTTCTCATTCAKTGAACCTCTCAGTCACATTTATCAGATGAAACAGTGCCTCTTAAAAAAGCCTGTCTTCATAATTAACTACTGTATCAAAAAGAACAGTAATGTCTGGGTAAGTGTGTCCAAATAGCTGCTCAGCGTTGCATCTGTCTTGCTCTGRTGAGAATGGATCCTGTCCAAAGGAAGACACCCAGGTTAGGGAAGAACTTAACTCCTGCTCATACATGCTTGCAGCCTCTTCAGCACTTGGCACCAGCTCTACAGAAACTCCTGATGGGCAACCAATGGCTGCAAGCTGATTTGGTACCCCTCTGCCTGAAACTTAAGGAGTCGTAAACTGTAAATGAAGTGAATCTGTTTTATATGTAAGCACAAACTTAACGGGCAACCTACCTGGTATTCTGTGAGCATTCCAAGACTGGACCCTGCCAAGTCCAACTTGGCTCACTTGACACACCAGATGAGAGAGACAAAATTTAGTTATATTATCCTCCAAGTTGAGCATCTCCTGGTCCTGCACGTGCACCAATACCCTTTTCAATGGATAAATACGTTCTTTTTTTCTAAAGCACAATTTTTTGGTTAGTACAGTACAGTAGTTGGTACAATACACAAATTGGATAATTTTCAGCCTATACTGGTGACAATTTATTTATTTAATACTTTGTCACTGCCCATTGAACTAAATTGAACACTAAAATATGATTTTTGTTAGTAGGTTGTAAATATTTTTATAGCAAAACTGCTAAAAGCACTAGCAACAAAGCATTTTAGATAATGTAGATCATTTCTGAAAGCTATTATATATATAT